TTTCTTGACAATTTATTTCTGTTTCCCTTGCAAGAAACAGACTAATAAAATTAAGTTACTTAAATATTTTATAAGTTTATGGCATACGGAAGTCAATTTATAGTTAAAATTAAAAAAGAAAACTTAAAAGTCCTGTAACAATATCCAAGAGCACTCTGCCAGATATACAAAAAATAAACAGCGCTTTATAGAACTGGGAAAAAATATATATAGAATCTGACGGTACAGATAAGCGTGGAGTATTTCATATCACAGTAGAATCGCCTTCTGTCCGACACGGAACTCATTTTATTGCGCTTAACGATATAGGGAGCACTAGACATTAAACTCTAAACTTAAGAAAGGTAAGAATAAAATATAAAAATTTGTATAGTCATTCTATCTTAAAAAATAATAATAAAATAATGATTAAGCACACAGGTAGACCTGTCGCTGTCTGGTAATTTCATAACAGACGTAATTAGTAATGAAACAAACTTAGATTTCACCTTCACCTTCCAGTCGCATTTACGCCAAGATTAATTACTCTATGGGAAAAGAGATTTTCATGTTTAAAAATTCCCCTTGTTCTTATCTGAAGGTCACTAGGACATCCACCTGGATTAAAAAGAAAATGAGGCTTGTTCTGGGTTCGCTTCAAACATGAGGCACAAATATGGATAATAAACAAATTATTTTCGGCACAATTAAGCGCCTTTTTGGACCGCCTCTGTGGTCTAGTGGTCAGAGTTCCTGGCTACAGATCCAGAGGTCCCGGGTTCGATACCCGGCACTACCAGATTTTCTGAGAAGTAATGGGTCTGGAACGGGGTCCACTCAGCCTCGTGAGGATAATTAAGGAGCTATTTCAAGGAAATATCGGTTACGGTCTAGAAAACCGAGATTAACGGCTGTGGGAATCCGTTGCGCTGACCACGCGACACTCTCTACCCGCAAAAATTGGCACTAAGTTCCCCGACAAGCGGCGGTCGCTCCGTCGGTATAGTTCGCTTTGTGATTACAGGCCACGGAGTTTGTTTTGTTGTTTAGTCGCCTCTTTTCCTTTGATACGATAAGGACCGTCCACAAAACTACAAAATTTGCCTAGCAAAGACAGGCGGGGACACACAGCCAGGAAGTTGATCTCATAAGCCTCATAAAATATTAGCGGGCTACATAGATGAACAGACACGGACAGACAGCATTGTGATATCATAAGCATCCTTTTATTTTTTTAATAAGAGGTATAGAACAGAAACACGCCTACAGTAAATCATTAAGTTTCTAAACCTGGAAATCAGGCTCATTGCGTGTAATATAACAAGTAAGTGTAACTGTAGAACAGAGTTTACAAAACTCACGGTCCGTGTACCACCAGTGATCAGCGGAAAAATTCATAGTGAACAAGATTCGCCTTCAAAAAATGGGCAAAACGTGTTTTGTATGACAAAAATTTTTGTATTAATTTATTTTCGCTTTTGATAAGACGATGGTGTAACTGGTGACTAATGAATGTATGGAGGGTAGGCCTCCTCGACCCTTGCACCGCGACCTACAGCGGTCTTTTGTGCTTAACTGGTGACTAAATTGGACTCAAATTATATTCGAAATTCTTAAAATATATCGTCTAACATCTGGGAGATCGGCCAAAGAAATAAGAGGCCCGCTGTCGAAGAAAAATTTTGAACCCCTGCTCTAAACTTACATTTAGTGAATTGAGTGAACCGTGTGTAAAAGCCTGTCATACCGCGTGTAATTTTTGGGCAACATTTATTTTGTGGCTTTGGTACAGAGTATTAATATTTCGAAAGAACTTTCTTTCTCCATCCTCATGGTAGTACTGTCCCTCAAGATGAAATATGTGTCAAAAGGTTTAGCCGTATTACCAGGCTACACGGTACCATAACGTAAAAGACAGCAATATTAATTTCCCCTACTGAATTTGAAACGTACTGTGAAATATGCGAATCAGTCTTTTTAGCTGTGAAATCCTGTTACGTGTGATTTCTGCTAATATGTCTTCAAATTATGGCCCACACATTAGAATACCACGTGATGGGACTGTGGCTCCACCCCGACTGTGGTAGGCGGGGCTAGGAGCTATAGACTCCACCCCACCAATTCCTGTGGCCAGGCGATGACAGAAACAGGGGAGGAAGTGACGTCACTTGAAAAAAATGTTGTCTAAATAACTTTGAAGAAGATTTCATATATAGGCAACAATGTTCTTGATGACAATGATGATATGATGATTCTATTGAAGAAATTTCAATAAAATTATTAAGATAATCAATATATTTAGATTATTATATTAAATATTGGTTGTATTATCTGCAGTGTGAGTAGCGATGTACCTCAGTCAATAAGACTTAAAGCAAGTGATTTCTAGCTCAGTAATTACGTGTGGTTCGATTCCTAGCAACGGTAAAGATTTCATACGGTTTGCCATCTTGTCCAGGCAGGCTCTGGGCCCACAAGTGGGCTTTGTGTTTTGTAAGTGGGGTAAAGTGGCAGTGGTACAGATAAATCTATTCATGTCATTTCGATGATAGGGTTAAACACGTACTGAAATCTACCTTTCATGCATTTCCTACGGCCTTTATGGCTTCAAGCGACACAGCAAAAATGTTAAATATGTCCCTGTGCTCAACTAATTAAGCACTACGCCATGAAGACGTATTGGGGGAGCGGATGTATAGATCCACGTCTTCTTGAACTCCGTTGTAGTTGGAGATGAGTGGTCGGCTTCACGCCGTGGCCGCTTTACCCCCGGTACGCATTGGTTAAAAGGCTGGGAGGGACCCAGAGCCGGTCTAGACGACATGGAGAAAAATCTTAACCTTACAGGGACTTGAACTCTGATCCCTCTTGTCGTCCAGCCCGTAGCCAATCGCTATACCTACTGAGCTATCCCGGACTAATGCTGTAACCGAATGAAGGGGTTATTCACGAAATTACACAATAGAATACGTGGCATATACACGCAATAAAAATATAAACACACAATGTGATTATATAAAGGTTTTTATTTTAAACAGATTTCTAACCACAAAACATTCTTAGCGCCTCAACATCTGTAACAATTCACAAGTCTACACAGCTAGATTTTGTCTGTTATAACGAGGGTCCTATAAGTTTGAGCTATTTTGTTTCTGAATGGAAACGAATTGGGTCTTGTATTCTGTGGCACAGAGGGTTCACCTCCTCATGTATTGTAGAGGAAGGGTTGATCAGAGCGTTTTGAAGCCCTATCTCCGGAGATATCTATTGGACCCATCTATGTTTTGTCTGAGGATGGGGACAGAATCCAATCTCCGAAACGCTGTGTTGTAAAAAAGGAAACAGGACGGGTTTTTTAAAAAACAGACAGGACGATGGATAATGTCCAAAAACATATTACTTGCAGCAATTTGCCATCGTCACAAACTTTTGGTTCTTACTTAATAGTTTCTATTTTTATAAAAAATATGCCGACAGACTTCTACGATTTTTATCTGACCTGCTTATACTGAGGTCCATTTAGTGAGTCAGATTAATTTCGAGTGCCTCACTGAATTGTTCGATGTCTGTACTTTTGTTTTACTTGTTATCATGATATCATTATCGATACTTAAAAGATAAAATTAAAAAATTTAATATCACGATAAAGAGCTCTTTTCGAGAAATTAAGAATTAGTAAGTTGTTTGAGAAATTCACACACTTTTTTGAAGTCTGAAGTTCAATTAGCGCACTCACAGAAACACTATAATGGACTTTATCCTGGATTAACACTATTACACTCTATTACTTCAAGATACGTTTTAATATTATCCTTATATATAAATTATGTCACGATAACTTATGTGATATGTGTCCCATTTGTACGCTGTGACAAATATCACCTTCAATTGTGTTCCAAATACGGTTTCAGGCACATAAATAATTTTATTTAAAAAACTTATTTACATTACTTGAACAACAATTGTTTTCAACGTGTGGATTGCGAGCGTTTTTTTTTTGTCAATTACTTTTGCAGACGTTGAAGATAAGAATATTTACATTAAATAAAATACCCGGTTGCATAAACCTTTTAAAATCATACACGTATTTACAAAAGAAATTTGTTTTACTATAATTTTATATTTTTATACAATAGATGGCACTATTTGAAAAGGGAGGGATAGTTATTATAAATTTTAGGTCTCTCTTCTACCTATAATACAACGCAAAAGAAAAATCCAAATGCCCAGCGAGAAGCAGAAAGTTGAGGTCCACTGACGTAAGAATAACAAAATGGGTATTTATTCCAACGTCATTCGAATAAAAGGGTTAAACTTTACAACATAACTAATATTATTCTATCCTTACATTTTCATATAAATCTAATACTGTGTGAATAGTATGACAGAAGATTTGATACACAAATTATACTCGTGTTAACAGCAAATACGGATATGGATGTTACAACTAGTTCCATTTCCCTCCGTGTTCATCCTCTTTAACCAGGGAGGAGATTATAGATCCGGTGTCTGCCGGCAGGTGGGTCTGTCTCCAGATTCCGAACTCAACTCAAGGTATATACCTCTCTCTCTTATTCAGGACAGGTTACCCCTCTTTATCATACAACAGCGAACACAGTGGGTGCGCGCTCACCCGTCACATTACCGCTCCCCCTCCTGTCACGTCCCGCCCAGGTACATCAGTCGTTTCGCTTCGGTGACGGAATGGGGAAAAAAAAAAATAAAGCGCCGTATCTTTTGATCCCCCCCCCTTTCTGCCTCAGATCTGTATATTCGTGTATGTATGTGTGTACGAGAGGTTGTGGTGTTGCTTGATGTTGGGGGGGGGGTTGTTGCTGTGCCCTGTCAGCGAGACCTTTCCCAGTCGTTCTTATCCTCCTTCTCCTCCTCCTCCTCGTCTTTCTCTCCCTCTTTCCCTCCTCCTCTCCGCGCCGCGCACCCTACAAGCCCTCAGGAGCAACGTCAAAAAAATGGCAGCGCTAGGCGGTCGTGTCTGTCAGTTCTCGCCTGCCCGGTGCGGATCTAGCAGCACTCGCTGGTGTCGCGACAACACGCCAACAGCGCAGCGATCTCAGGTATCGGCTTCGGGGGCTAAACCGAGCACAATTCTCACTCTCTCACTGGGACAGCTACAACAACGTAAAGTGTAAAGTGTAACGTCCAGGTAGAATCCAAACTCAAAGTGACAGTGTGTTTAGGGGGGCTCTGTGGGGTTTCCAAGCGCCACGCCCCCTTCCCTGACTGCTGGGTGGTCCATAGAACAGCGTGCCCCCGTGCCGTGTGCTGGGCGGACCAAGTGAAACAGAAAAGAGGGGTAAAAAAAAAAGGATAAATGAAGAACAAGAGAAATCCAACTAACTTGTGTATCTTCAGACGTGGAAATGTCGTTAAATAGTGATCGCACAGAAGCAGCTGCTGTGTCAGTGTTGTTAGAAGCACGACGACTAATTCACACGATCGCTTTTTGTGGGAAGGTTCAGACTTAATGACACTGGTGATGACATTTCGACCGGACGCTGGGAAACTCAAGCCCCGTCAACGGAGATAAACGATTGTTCTGGTGAAAAGTTCAGTGATCATTAGGTTCTGCACTGATGGAGGGGATCACATCCTAAAGGAAACAAACCGTTCAGGATTCTTCCGGGTAGCGACATGTGATGATGATAATGATGATGAGGATATGTCAAAGTGATGACAGAAGATGCAGGAAGCTGGTGGTGGGAAGTGAACACCTGTGTCATGTCTCCAAAGCAGTGAAACCCATGTGGTCCTGAACTGATAGTAACGGGGTTCAAAACTCGCTCTCTCCATGCTGTTGCAGACCATGGAGGAGAACTGTACGCTCCGACCCTGCGCCACCGACTTCTCCATCGCCGCCATTATGGCGCGGCACGACCGTCGCAGTCGCAACAAGCAGCAAGAGGCGTCGGATACTCTGTCACCACTAGGTAGGCAACACCGCACGGGGAACACAATTCGCCTTCCCGTGCGAATCTAACTATAGGTGAAACGTTATGTTAAGGTCTCAAATTGTACTGCAGGCATGTAACGTGGGAAAACAGAGGTGGCTCTGTTATAAGTTTACATTTTCGTATCTAAAATACAGCTGAATGAAAGGAATTCATGTAAAATTTCAGGTTTTCACGGCGGTGACTATGAAGAATGCCGTTTTCTTGGATGTGGCGCCGTATAGATATTGTATAAGCCGATGTTTCGGAGGAGCGTATCGTATGCAGCCACCTTCTCACGCTGGTTCTTCTCTCGCGGATTTTTTTTTTATTTTTCTTATACCCTGAAGATGGAGGCGATACGTTCCTCCGAAACGTCGGTTTATTCAATATCTACACGGTGCCACATCCCAGAAGACGGCATTCGTCGAAAAGAATTTGAAGTCTCCAAATTATTGGAGATTTGATATTATAGGGTCCAGATTCTCGTGAAAGCTACTAAGAATAACACTGTTTTCTGCTATGTGACGCCGTTTAAGCTAGTAGAAGCTTGCCTATGTTTCGGAGACAGAATATTTCTTCGAAACGTCCTACACGTCGCCACATGCCAGAAAACAGAACTCAACATAATTACTCATATAATGATGCTGTCAGAAGGGCAGGTTTATTAGTGAATAAAGAGTAGGAAAATGTGGAAGCTGCCATGACAACAATTCTCCTGTTCGAGATATGAGCCCGGTACCTCCGGGTACGAAGCAAGTTGCTACCCACACGACCAGACCTTCAGTTAGCATGAAATGAAAATATCAAAATAAACCTCAACGAGGCTAAAATACACGTATATCTGTTTCCTGTCCCCAGAGAGTCAATACAACTATGAAGGAAAACAAGTTATAAACCGTATTGGTCTAAATTTTCTAAATTATTTTTGAGGATCCCACGATAAGGGTAGAAACATTTCAGGCCCCCCTGACTTATAAGAGTTACGCTTGTTTAAAATGTTATTTATATCAATTTAAATAATAATTAATATTCTAAGCACAGAGTAATTTCCCTTTTGTTGTGTGCCTATATTTTAATGCGACGTTTTAGAATTAAAATTTATTCAGAATTTTTACTATACACATTTCCGGTGTCACCCCCCCTTGGAGGCTCACACTTCTAGGAACCCTGTTATTAGCTTATTTTATTATGGAGGCTTATTTTACTGCACTTTCATTTAAAACGGCGCTGTATGAATTTAAAGTGCAAATCTATAGGCACATATTGGACGTGCTATTCAATTAACCTTATCCTGCTAAAGTATGCCTATTTTTCTTACTTGCATGTTTAGGACCTTTTATTTAAGAAATGACGTCAGACTGAACAGACCTTTCGATGGTCTTCATATGAATTTGATTAAGGGCATAGACCTGAATTCAGTTATACTGAACAAATGTTCATACGTTTGCAGTAATCAGGTTTGCCTACCACAAAATTCCCAGTTTTTTTTTAACTCTCTATTTCTTCTAAGTAATATGTATATATAAGTTCAGTCTGTACCTCACAGGAAACGCATTACGTCACAGCTACAAAGCCCAACCGGTTAATGCTGTTTATTGTAAAAACCATACGGAACACACAGATACACTCCATGCGTAGATGCAGGGTTTTAGTGTGTTAAAGTGTGTGGTACATATAGTAACCACTGGGATTTAAAGGATTAAGTTCATCTGGTTCAGTATAAGGATCAGTGGAAGGCTCTTGTGAACACGGTAATGAACCATCGGGTTCCATAAAATGCTGGGAAGTTCTTGAGTAGCTGAGAGACTGACGGCTTCTTAAGGACTTTTCTCTATGCAGGTAATAAGGGCGTAGAAAGAGAAGGAAGCATATCTTGTCAATTAAATTTAAGCATGATGAGATTAAGTTTAATTTCGTGGCTCTCATGCCCACCATTTCTCTTGTAAATGCAGTATTTGCGTTAACATTAATTTTGCGCATGTTTTTGATATTTAATTTTTAATTGATCAATGAATTAATCAATATTAATTATAATTCCGCGTATATTATGAGATTCATTGTTTAATAATTTCTGTAGACTATCTTTAATAACTCGAAATAAGAAGTCAGAATTTGGCATTTTTAGGTCTACTAAGTACTTTTAACTATAATTTTATTTAATTTAATCGGAGAATTTGTATTATGCCTGAGTTTATTTCTATGAAATATCAGTCTATCGACATCAGCACTTAACATGAAAAAAAAATTACATGTTAATAGTCACTAATTAGACTGACTTTTATCGAATTATTCAGCTGTAAATGTGATTCTCACTGGGAATATTGTGTGGCCATATCCCGCCATAGCTAAGCATGTTATATTTTTTCGAAGAAGTTAGACAGCCCTTACTTTTGGTATAGACATCGGCTGCATAACCTTTTGTCTTGCTGACAGGTGTTACATCCATCGCTATTACGAAGTCTGTATCCGAGTACACGCGAATTCTGTTACACTCCAAGTAAAGTGCGTCGATCTGAGACGATAAATCAGATCAATTAATTAGCAAATGTTTCAGTCGATCAAACGTAAAAGGATTTAATTTCAAAGGACAAGTCCAGACAGTAACAACGCTGTTTTTTTTCCATCCACAAACAACGTCAACCCTTTAAAGCAAGTGGTTACTATATGCACCACCAGCTTTAACACAATAAAACTCTGCATTCTGCCCACAGAACGTATCTGTGTGTTCCGTATGGTTCTCACAGTAAACAGCGACTGTTTCCCTGAACAGCATTAACCGGTTGGGCTTTGTAGTGCAGACATAATATGTTTCCTGTGAGGTACGGACGAAATTTGTATATATTACTTAGAAAGAAATCAGTTATTAAGGGTCGTAAGAAGCGTCGAAAAGGAAACCAGTGCCTGGGGGTATAACTGGGCTACTCTGTTCCTGGGGGATATAAATACAATGGGGCCTGGCTCTCCAGGTTGGGGGAATCTCGAATCTGAGACAGTAAAATGTGTTTATGAGTCCCGCGGGACTCAAACACGAGAATGACTGTGCTGGCGAGGACCAGCAGCAATTGTAAACGAGAGACCCATCCTCTAGTGAGAGAGGATGTTACATAAGGACTATGACTGGTCGTGAGTCTCAAGGGACTTGTCGCCAAGACCAAATGATTGGCCGTAAACCGTCAGTAGCAAAGTAACTGTGATTATGATTCTGAGAAAATTAAATGAATAAACATTGCCTTTAAGTGGGATGTGACATTAATAGCATGGAAAAGGGATAAGTCTGAAATGAATGAAAGTTTGGAATAAGGTTGAAAGGCTGTTCTCAATAAGTCACATAATACGAAACATATGCTTTGTTTACGAATGAAATTATCATACGTTGAAACGGATATGGGAAATGTCACATAAAACATCTGACGGTATTGTTCTCCATAATATTCCAACGTATTGTCCTTTTGAAGACATAGAAATTTGTATCAAGCCAGATATGAATCGTATACACAGATATAAAAATTATTTCTGAGTTTGGAACATTTCACAAAATCAGAGATCCCATTCCTGGGTGAGGGTAGAGCTTAATTACATTTTAATACCGCACTGCAAAAACCAGTAGCTAATTTCCGTTTCATAACATGCAACACAATAATACGCCATGCTTGTAATGTTATAATTTTCATGACGATTAGCTTTACTGATTACAGAACAATTTCAATTTACAGTTAGATTATTTCGTGGCGGCCATATCAAATGTTCGGCTCACATAATTACTCTGTCCTTTGATGTTACAAAAAAGAAAAAAGTAATTCACGTACGTTGAGTTTCAGCTACATTTGTTTCATGGCAGAAATAATAGTTGACCACATTTTGAAGCACTGTGCAACTGGACAGGCCTATTTCAACTTGATACAGTGACATATGGCGATTTGGTGATATCGGCGGAAGCTGTCGGACACATGGATATGCGGAGTGACTAATTTACTCTAAGCCTGCAGATAGTATACGGGTTCAGATCAGTTCCAATTTCCACAGGCTTTCTCTGTTCAGATTCGGGTCTATAAATAACACGGGGCATACCCGTGGTATAATCAATATAACCGATGAAATATCCACGTGATCTTCTGGGATAAAGCCAATGTACAAAGCCGAGAGATTTGTCTAGGGTCAAATGGGCATTAGATGGCCTTTCCACAACGACTGCGAAACTCAATTATTATATATCTACATGCGGGCAGCATAAGCAATCAGGCGTTACTTCCTAACGTGAGATGACGGAAGAGAAAGGGCCGTTAACTGTATTGATCAGAGAGGCGGTCTGCTTCGTCTCTGTGTTGAAGCGACCACACACACCCACAGAGAAGAGTCAAAAAATCTGTAGTCTCGTTTCCTGCAAGTAAAATGTTGCAAGATCTAAACTTTAGCGTTATTCTCAACCCGTTGAAGAATGTCGTCTTCTGGGATGTGGCGCCATGTAGATATCGTGTAAACTGATGTTTCGGAGGAACGTATCGCCTCCGTTTTCAGGGTATAAAAATCCACGAGGGAGGAACCAGCGAGAGGAGGTGGCTGGTTCCTAGCCTGGATGCGATACGTTCCTCCGAAACGTCTGTTCACACAAGATCTGCACGGCACCACATACCAGAAGACGGCATTCTTCATTTCAGTTTATTAATCTTACACAGTCGGTAGGAATCCTTGGACGGGGGATCAGCACGTCGTAAAGCCGCTACTTAAATACAGAATAAATGTACATAGACTATGCTTCAAGTGGGATTCGAACACACGATCCCAGTGTTCGGCGAGTGAAGACATTTCTTGCCTTTTTTTATTGATAGTAGGGTGGGACTAAGTCCCTTGTACTGCGGCCACTTCTGGTCTATTGTACCAGCCCCAGATGATAGGTGAGGGGGATTGTGGAGCAATTGGTGGAATGAAGATTGGCAGGGGAAACCGAAATACTCGGAGAAAAACTGCCCCAGCTCCACTTTGTCCACCACAAGACCCAC